AAGCTTTGGTGGCCACTTGCTCACACCAACCACATTCATGATCTGTCAGCACATCACGTGTGTCATAACCCAATCAGGTTGCGCCCCTGGCAGTTCCACAGACTCCATCAGAAATCTTATCTGATCGTTTTACCTGATTATCAGCTGCCCCTAACCGCTTTAGTCTACAGCTCGTCTGCCACCTTCGCCTCTAGGTAACAAGGTACGCCTCCGTAATAAAGTGCTATCGGGAGAAATTGATCTGAGTGTGGTGATTTTGTGTTCCAGGAGGAAAAACGCCCACCCTCTTGTGTACTCCTAAGTAATCAACATTGAATTGCGTTTCCAGGAAAAGGTTGTGTAGTTATTCTGTGGAATAAGCAATGAGCTCGATAATTGGGGGAAAATCATAGATGAAACACAGTAATCGGGATTCTCCGGCCTACCGGTGAAGCGTGGGCCATCCGCCTCCCGTGGGGTTGGGCTGCACCATGATCATACGGCCGAGACGGCCTCCTCCAGAGTAGTAACCTCGCATACCACATTTCAAGCGGGGAAATTCGAATTGCCATATAAGACCTCATCGGTGACTGGACGAGTCTCAGTATCAGACTGCCAGACACTGCAATGTCGCCTGGGGCGGGTAAATGAAATGCAAATGCAACCTAGCAGCCTTCGGGGACTCATGTCAACTCCGCTCTCGGATAGATCGGACTACGCGCGCCAAGATGGATGATTGCCTAAGCTCCTATGGAACTAATGTTTGATGCCTTAGGCTGTTCCTCGGAGTAAGTCTCATTCTCCGAAGTTTGGCACATCACCAGAATAGTCATAGATAGATAGTTCCCCTTCCCCCCATATATTGGCATTCTTCCACTTCCCCGGCATTTGATTAACGATATCCAACCTCATCTGACAATGCTTCCTGATGAACTATTCTTGATTCCTCGCTTATCCTTATTATAGCATCCTGCTCAGATTTGACAAGTTCTTCTGCCTGACGTTCTCGAGGTCGAATAATCTCTAGCTAGTACCACTATATTAAGCGCATACTAGCGAACCATGTACGCCCGACTACTCAATATGTTACGCCGTACTGAAGTATCACATGCCAAGCTCTTGTCTAATGCATCGTCTTACCAGGTAACAGGGTCAGACTATTAGCGAAGCAAGGAGCACGGAAATAGAGTGCAATTGGACGTATCCGATCTCTTCGACTGTTCGGTCTTCTTCCTTGGGGCCATTACAGTAGAACCAGCAGACCCAAGGTCTGCAATAGGGGCGTAGAAATGACATGTCATATTGAGTTCATAGCAATGATCATTGCATTATTCCCACTGCTATGCATGCCCCTAGACGCAGAGTACTGGATTACTCACCCCTTCACCACCAATTTCGCCCGAAACAGGTACCGCGGCGCGCCGACAGCCCATAACATGGCAATACAGCCCACTGCCATGCGAGCCAGAACGAGCAGCATGGGAAGGACATGTCAGACTATTGAAATCCTGTATTCGTATCCTTCCAGACAACCGCATTTCGACGCAATGATAATACCTATCATATCCTCATAGACAGACCGCCAGTATCTGTCTACAGTTCTCCCGCTGTACGGGGACACAGTCGAGTCCTCCTACCGCGTCATCCTCTCCTGTCGAACCTCCTATTTCCTGCTCACTAAGGAGTCAACCAAGCTGAGACCTCGATGTACACCAATCTCATTGCGCAAGTGTCTATCGACCAGGTACAGGGTGGCGAATTAGGCGACCCAACCGCTGGGTTCCAACCCATCCGCATACACGAGTAACGGGACAAGGGAGACGATTCTCCTGATAGGCCAATCGAGTAGCAAATCTTGCAATGGACAATCTCACTGCTTACCTATACTGCTCAATCGTAGCTTGATGTAGCATTGTTGCAGGGATGTCCACAGTAATTCTCACAATCTCACCACAACCATGGATATGTCATCTCTACTCCGTACTTCTAGACTAAGGGGTCTACCGTCCGGGGACCTCTTTAGTCTGGTATTGGCTATGATAGGTTACAGTCGATGGTGCACGAGCCACCTGTGCGAGCCACGATCCTGTGGCTGTGTCGTCGTATTGCAGATCCTGCGGCGTCAGTATCGGTGTCTCCGAGTTCAACATCCATGCAGAGCTGAGGGCGTATGTTACTACCAGGTTCCTCAATGGACAGATGATATTGTGTAAGTCCAAGGTCGCAAGGTACTTAACAAACTTCTCGTGAAGAGGAAGGCCGTGGTTCCTGGTCAAGGTGGACAATTGAGGGTTGATCCGGTAATAATCTTGGTACTGTATCGTAGGTATCCGTAATTTGCAACTCAACCGCCTGAAATATATTACGCCCTTGGACCATGCATGAAGCGTTATTGTTCAACGAATCTAGGTAGGGATTGTCGATATGGTCTTCGATAGACTGACCGGCGACTGAACATACCCGGAGTCGAGTCCCAGACCTGTCACTATTTAGTAGAATGTAGGTGATCGCTTCATGCAAGTAGATTCCTGGAATCGCGCGGCCTAACGGCCCACTATTGGAGCTCGTGCATACTTAGGGAATCTGCTCGATGTGATGAGTCTGATCGGTCTGAAATACATATATCAGGTAGGGGATAACTAACTGAATAGCGATTGCGTTGTACAATAACGGTAAACCTGCATAACTCCTTTCCCTGCACAACGACCAATAATTTATATGGCAACCTGGCTCTGAAGCCCTTCGCAGAGAATGCCTGTTATGGTATGAAGGATGGCTTCCAAACTCGAGTAGACATTCTCACCGATATCCCAGAAGCATGACCACGTCCCACCCGCGAGGACGGGACCGGAGCTAGAACTATTAGAAGCTGCTTTGCACTACCACAGGAAACGAATCTCTGCTGGAAAGATATTTCCGGCTTGGCGCATATTACTTGCATCGTAGACGTCGCGGTGATGTATCGCTCTCACCGCTCATCTCAACAATTCGTGAAAACCTTCGTGTTGTTGGGTAAGAATGTATGGTTCTACTAGTTGGGATAGACGTGTTGTCGTCAGAGGTATGGTAGCGACTGCGGGTAAACTTAATCGACTGGCTTTAATGGTGATGAACAGCAATAAGTTGTTATCATAGGCTCAAGGCAATGTCCATTGCAGATTCGCCGTTCAGGTCTATCCTAGGGCATTATCGGTGATGTGCAATATTGGTACGTCATGCACAGTGTGACAAATCCGTGTCCGATAGAGAGCTGAGAAATGATGTGTCGTTCGGTTCAGGCTTGATATATGGCTAGAGGTAGAAGTCCTTGAGTCTGGTCAACTAGAGGGATTCGTATTGAGATGCTCACCGCTGATTGCCTCTCAAAGTGCTTGAGGTACCAGAGGCATCTCTAGCCATTGGCAAATGTCGGTGGCTCTTCCGCGTGCCCAATGACTCGTAGGCGTTTAAGGAACCCAATAGAAAGATTTGGGGCCGTCATTGACAGAATGAAGTTGATACTATCGAGGTTATTTAAGAGTTCAATTAGAATCGATTAGATTGGACGATCTCAGATCTTGGAGGCTGTTTTAGAAACGGGGGCCGTCGAGTGCCTGGAAGGTAAGTATCAACTTTCCCCTCCGTCTTCCTCCAATGGGAAGGAGCTACCTTAGGTTGGAGGTGGGCTCAGGTACAGGGACCTTGCCTGTGGGTAAGTTTGGTATTACCAGGGTACCAGTCCCAAAACTTTGCAAATAGCAGTTACACACCAACCAGAACGTGAGAAAGCCAGTCGGAAAAGTCAACCTAGACAAGGTAATTCTAGGTAACCTGCGAATACAAGTTTGGTCCAATTGATCCAATTGAACCTTGGGGCCAGGTCTGAGCCATAGAAATGCCTTCCTTATCATCGCTTCCAGATGCTGGACAGAGATGTTTCATTTCTGATCCGGGCCAATTTGTTAGGATCCACCAGCAGGAGTGAGAGGACACGCGATGAACATGGCTCTTTCGCCACTGGTCACCCCCATTTGCATCCACTGATTCGATTCGCATCGATCTGAGCCTCCACGTCCAATCGACCAGTGTCTCGCTCTGGTCAATCTGAATCGAATTACTATGTCTCAGTGCAATCAACTGCTGTAACTGTCATCCGTTGTTTTCCTTGCTAGCTATGGCCTGTCATTTCTCAATAAAAATTCTAATTACCCACATGTAGAGAGGTACTTGGAAAATGGAATCGTTGGAACGATAGCTGTCTCGATGGTCGAATAATATTTTAGGGACTTATTGTTCTATATTAGGCCCTCAAATAAACAGTCCTTATTGCTTGATCGGGTAGACCCGTTCCAACTCTGTTCGCTCTCAACTGGTTAGTTATACAAGTGCGAGTCCCAGCTCCGCTTCTTTTTTTCCCACGCAGCCTCCTTTGTCATCAATTTCTTCTTCTACTCTCTTTTCTTCCTGGTCTCCTGGTTGCAACTATTTGTTACTCGACATATACTTATATTCCTATCTGTTTCCTGTCCTCGATGGGTCGGTCCTCCCCGAAGCATTCGTCGGCTCAATTTCCCCGCTACACGCTCGATTTTCAATAATCTCGGTTCGACTACATTAATGGCATAAGCTAGAGATCATCTTGCCTCTAGATGGAGCACACTTAGCAGATGTCTGATAACGATTCTGGCCAGGGTAAAAGCCTAGGTTTTGCCATTAGAAACCTATTCCGCTCTACATCTTCCCCCTCCGAGTCTCCTCGACGAAGGGTGTCTCTCCTGATCCGCCGAGGTAGGAGTGTCTTTGTGAACAAGTAATTCTCCCCCCTGTTTGTTCTTGTCCCTCTCCGCTCTACGTCTAGCTGAGCGTTTCCTGGACACCGCTCGAAAGCTCAAAGATCATCACCGGTGGCAGCTTCTTGCATTTCCCTTCGTCTCTTCGAAGACCAGCAGGCCAATGGCTAGATAGGGACCTAGAGCTAAGTCGGATACTCTCTACACAGAAATCCTTCCGATCAGTCAACTCCCTTGTCTGGGGCCGCCAAGATGGCCTCCGCTCAGCAATTCGATCCCGCCACAATAATTAACCTTTCTCGGTCGTCCCAGGAAGCAGCGCATGGCACCTTTGATATCTTCGAGTGGTACCCCCACTATCAGAACTGCCAGCGGTACTTCCTCGACCATGCACAACATAGTGTCACCGTTCAAGCACTGTGCGCGTTTTTGAACATTCGTCTACCCTTCCAACGAATACCGCACCCTGTCTCCAGCTCTTCTAGCACAGCATCAACACCTTCTGCAGGACTGACGTCTTCTGTCTCGGAGTCATCCCCGCATCCGGCCCCCTCTGTGTCACTCATTCCCTATATTCGACGTCTAGTAGCCACGGGCATGGATTCTCCTGGGGTCCTTCAAGGATTCTTTGGCGATGACTGGACCGCAGGCGTTGGGTATCTCCACGAACAGGAACGTCGCAACTATCTCTTCGCTGCAAAGAGCGGCGGCTGGGCTGCGGTTAAGAGAGAATACGATATGCCTCCTTTGGAGACCATTCCCTTCCTGCGGCCCCTGCAAGGGACAGTGGATTCCGAGATTGAGGCCGCGGAGAGAAGTTGGAGTGAGTGGCTTGCAATGGAAGATTGGATGGTTGGACCCCGGGCTCCTGATGGTCTCCGAGATTCCTCTTCACATATGTCGTGTCCTCGGAGCTCAGGAGGGTGACCTCCACGGTGATAATGTCCGATGTTACGTTCTCATCGAATAACCTCTTCGAGACTATTACCCTTCAAAGGGTGGTATATCATACACAACAGACTCGTTCGATCGAGTGAAGTTGGACCTCGCCAGGAGAGCATGATCATACACACTGATCATACATTTATCTTGGAGTGCGACAGAGAACCGATGTGCTTCGTCTACACTACCTTGCATCATTTCCTGTGAAACGATACTCCCAATGTCCGAAAAGAAAATAACATTGAGAATGTGAGGTGGCTTCCCGCGTCTAGGTTTGTTCCCGATGGCACGTTCGCCCACGACCGAGACAACTGATTCTCGAAATATTTCCTCTATGTAATGCTTCGTCATTGTGTAGATCCAGCCCGACTGAGTCTTGGGAGAATGCACAGGGACTTCTCCTGAATGAAGACTTACAGCCCGAATTAATTCATTGTTCGAGGGCTGTGGTAAGCTATGGCCACGGGGTGTTTTCCGAACCAGACCCCCTGAGCCATACCTTTTACGGCGGACGCGTCTGGATCTGGGAGAAGGATTATGGAACTATTGCTCAAGTTTTCAGGGCAAATTTTCGAGGCTGTCCTATCCATCAATTACCCCTCGACCCGAGACCCCACCGGTTTGTCTCGGTGACCCGTGATTACGACGCCCGCAGGGAACGGCTTGGAAGGGGACTTGATCAATTCCTTGGTTTGCTTGTGGGGAAGAATGGAACTCTGGTAGCGGTAGGGCTATCGGGATTAACTCTGGTTTTCGATTACCCACTTGATTTCAGGCGGAATTTTGACTACAGATACCTTCTTGAATGTAGCCTGAATTATCGGTACTGAGAGAATCCAATGTGTAGCTAAGATCCGGCATTGTTTAATCTTTATCGATACCCAGGAGCGGTGGTATTCAATATATTGGACCGTGCGTCTGGCAACCTAGACTCTATCTCACTTCCATGTTTAGGGGTATTTGAGTCTTCCAAACTTAAGAGTTAGCAATATTAATAGCTCAACAACGCAACCAATGGCATCAGTTGAGTGGCTAGCTGAATGGCGGGTCTAGCAGTTTTAATGGTGAAAATACAGTGGTGGTATTGAAGTTACTCAAAGTTGGCGCGGAGGTTGCAAAAATATCTGCAACTTTACGCAATACCTCCACTCAGAATTGCAGGAATAAGAAGCAAAAATTTACCCGTCAAAGGAATTACCCGTCTACTTAGGTACTCTATCTAGGTTGAAATTCGACGTATCGGCCGAAATCAGGATGAAGTGCCCCTCCCCAGAGTACGTGTAAAACATTGTTGACGACCTACCTATTCTGTAGTGAGGATGTGGGTCGCGTCCCGTGTTAGGACATGCAAGTCACTCATAGGCTTTGCATTTGAGTCTACTCCATAGTTGATTGTTCTCGATAATTCCAACTGCAGGTCAGTTACAGGACTGAAAGAGGGAAGTCCATTATCGGCGCATGATTGGGCGGGGAGTAAAGAACTAGATTAGCCCCGGTGCCAGCATCTGGCTGATCTGAGATGTTATTTGTCCGGAATTTGATTAGATCGGGAGGCATGAGCCAATCTTGTGCTTAGCTGGGGATTGTTGATGTTAGTGTTTGTAATGATCTTCTAGTTTCTAGGTAATACTCTGTATACTTGTCGAGTATGTTCTTTGCGACTCATTCTGCAAATTCTTCCAGCATTACAACATGGGTTTGGAGTCTTTACGTGCATTGTGGTACCTTACAAACTGGGAACATCAGAGTGGACTTAGTGGGTTGGCTAGCCCTCGATATGAGGAATTTCCGGATGGAAGGATCCAGAGTACAAGTTCCTTTGCTATTATCTTCATGGTAGAGTTCTCTGCTATATGTTGATCTGCTGATATTAAGCATTGATTTGTGCATGGAGTAGTAGTGTGCTGACGCCTCAGTTTCAAAAATATAGTTGTAAATATTCCAGATTTCTTTTAGTAGAACACTAGCATTATTATGTGCTTCAATAGATTACTAAAGATACAGATGCATTTGGCAATCATGAACCCTCATCTAGCCTGCCAGAGACACCACCTTCATGCTCATGCTCTGTTGATCTATTCTATGCTTGATCTCTACTCCGTACACGGCTAATGTTGTCCAGTCCTGTCATGTGACAACTATCATGTGACTCGCCCTTCAGCCAAACAAATAATGACGCTCAAGTTTCCACCACATACTCCAGACCTGTATAAGGAGTCAGGAAAATGTCTCCCACGAACCAGCGTGAATAATCAAATGCTTATTTATGCGTCACCACCTTTGAATCTGCTATGTTTGAATTTAAGCCAGGATGATTGAACCTTCCCAAAATATGACCGCCCCGGTCCAATGGCGAACATTCTTCCATCAATGTTTGATACATCGAATCGATGCTAGCGAGTTCAGAAACCTGTCAAAACTGCTGTTTCAGAAATGTCCGATTGCAGAATCTGCACTGCTTGATGCACTGCTTCAGACTCGATCCGAGTCCCGGATCAAGTGGGATCCACTACTCCCGCTCTACATAGACTGCCTGTGCCGAATGGGCAGGGTCAGAACTTCCACTGTGTTGACTTCTCTTTTGAAATACTCGTCTATACATGATAAGCCGCAACTGCCTACGTCAGAGGGCAAAGATGGTTCCAAATGCTATACTTTGATGACCGATATTCGAGTCATCCAAGATGCCATGCTTTCCGTATCGACGGGGAGTACTCCCAAAACTAACGCAGAAGCCATCGCAATTTTCTTTGCTATCATTGACTGGATCCATGCGGTTGCCTCATGGCACAACAGTCATTTCGATCCCGGTCAACACTCGAGTGGCATGATGAGTTCGCCGGATGTGGTGTCGCTGTTCGAATCGTTGGGCATTCTCCTCGCTGCTCTATCTGGAACCGGGAAGGGATTAGAGGTTCTTTCAGCTGATTCGCATGAAGGTATTTTCCATCACTCCCGAATAGACCTAGGTTAATCTCACAGGCTGCAGGGTTAAAGGTCAAGCTGGGCCAAGCGCTCTCCGCATATCTGCCCCTTTGCGTTGAGGTGTCGTTACCTCTGCGTAACAGGTTGGATGGCCTTCAAAAGGAATTCAATTTGTATGGGGAACGGGCGCCAAAGTCCTTGGATGTTCCAATGATGGAGAACATGAATGTTAACGCTCTGCAATTTGAGGCGTCCGTCATGGACGGGCCGGTCATCAACTCGAGAGCAGGTCTCTACGTCTTTATCAATGCAATGGTAGGTGTCTTTCTTCTCGCTAGCTGTACAAGCTGACCTTTTAGCTCGTGGGCCGGCCCCTAGTGGATGATAGTATGCTCATCAACTATCTTGCCAATCGATACGGAGTAGGTACCGTGAGGTCCCGGTAAGATAGGGTCGACTGACACGTTTAGGGACACTACGAAGCTCTCATTGAGGAAATCCTCACCGCTGCTTTTGACGTCCTGTCAAACGGCATGTATCGTAATGAATCCAGTCGGACGATGTTCGTCTTTCGCTCCTTCTTAGTGAACAAGCTGCCCGCGTTCTTTGCAGCCATGCTAGCGTCGACCATGGTCTCCATCCCAATGGAAATGTGCATCAGTCATGCATTGAGCCGGCTTGACCCCAACACATTCCCGTCATTCTCGCAGATGTTCGAAATGCAGGGCAACACGGTCCTGTCCGACGTGCGGCAGGAGTTTTTGTTCGCCTGTGCCTCGCACAAACTGATTCCTGAATCCAGCATAGAACGCTTGCTGGGTGAGAATCCCATGCAAACTCTTCCTGTGGGCTATAACAAGGACGAACTGGTGTCGCAGATCAACGCCAATCCTGAACGTGCGGAGCAGTTGATCAACGAGATTGAGTCTATGGAGGGAAATGCAGGAGCGATTATTGGGGCAATCACAGAGGTTTGTCCTTGCGTCAGGGATTGATTGGCACGGCATCAGCTAACGAAGACAGGTCATGCATAATCTCTGCAACCAAAAGGAAACCATGACATTGAAGAACATATGCAATTCGCTATCTAGGCGGCCTCAGGCGCTGGACGTGGTTTTGATTTTCCGAAACCCAAAGCAGGTTCTGCAGCCGCTCTGCGCTTTACTGGACTCGTGGCACTGGGACGAGGACCAAGGAGAGTACCAACCGGTGTACGATGAGTTTGGAAGCATTCTCCTGCTGGTGCTGGCCTTCAAGTACCGGTTTGATCTGCGACCAGCGGATCTTGGGATCTCAAGCAATGATTCCTTTGTTCTGAGACTGCTCGAGCGAGGAACCTGCAGCCAGAAACTCGATGCTCTCGATGAAAAACAGAACAAGAATCTGGGCTCCTGGATTGCGGCTCTATTTATCGCCGAAGGCATCAGTGAGGAGACCATGTCGGCGTGCAGTCCACAGGAGTTCTACTTGCTTGTGGCTACACTGTTCAGTCAGAGCCTAGAAGCATGTGAGACCGGAAAGCTCGAGTTTGATACTTTGAAAGGGGGCTTTGAATGTATGTTAATTGGTCTGGTCTACTGGAAAGATACTGACATGAGTAGACCTGCTTGAGCCGTTTCTGTTACCGTCTCTGATCTTCGCGCTGACGTGGTTGGGGGACCATATCTGGGAGACGGAACTCGACCCCTCAATTCCCCTAAAGGCGCTACAGTCCTTGGTGAATCCGAGTTCGATCTCCGGCGAAGCCAGAGAGATCCACCGGACCGTGCTGAACATCACTGCCCGCACGCTGGAAGAGCAGCTCAAAGATGTCCGCACGCGACACCCGTCGCGCACCGACATCAAACCGATTCTCGACTCCCTGGAGCCGTGCCTATCGTTCCAGCTGGTGGGCAGCAGCCACCGCTCCGAACTGGAGAGTTGGACGACGCATTCCGGCGGCGGCCTGCTAGGCGGCATCCGCAGCACGTTCCAGTCGCTGGTGCTATGGAGCACAAACCCAGAGGTCAGCATGGCACCTCCTCCGTACACCCATCGCCAGCTGATCGCAGGCGTGCGGATGCTGGGGGCGTCGCGCGTGTTACCTCCGCTGATCGAGGAGCTGAAGCTCCAGACCGAGGCAGGCAACGGCCCCCTGGCGCTGGACTTGGCCGCGACGCTGATCTGCGCGCCCATGGCGGAGACCTTTTCTGTCGAGCAGAACAGCCACCAGCCCGTGGACCCGAACAAGGAGGCGCTGCCGCGGTGCGGGATCCTGACCCTCCGCGACGTGCTGGCGCTACAGCACGAGAACGTGCCCAAGATCTCCGAAAAGGACCCCCTGCGCGCGGAGGTGCTCGTGCGGTTGTACCGGCGGGTCAACGCCCTGCTGGCGCCGCCGTCCCAGGTCCCCAACCTGGACGTCAACAACATCATCCAGAACATGCAGCTGGGGGGTGTTGGTGTGGGTGTGGGCGCGGGCCAGATGGAGCTGGATGCCGCGGGGGCCGCCGACCATGGGGTCGGGCCCGACGATGCAGAGAACATCCATCGCATGATTGACAATGCGGCGGCGGCAGCGGCCCTGGATTCGTCGGGGACGGGGCTCGATACGAGTATCGATGATGTACTGAACGCGGCGGATATGGCGGTTGGCAACCCGGAGTTTTTGGATCTGGATATGGAGGGGATGTTCTAGGTATACAGTGATACGAGTGAAGCATTATGGGAATTTACTCCATTAAAAGCAAAGCACCAACGCCGGCAAGATGGCCATCCTGTACCGTTCATTCGAACTATTTATCCACCACAAATCCTTTTCACTGACAGAAAGAAAAGAAAGACCCAGCAACCAATAGTAAACCCAATCAAAACATAGGTAAGCCTGCAGAATGTATTAGCGATATATACAAAAAGAAGAAAGACATGTCTGGGAAAGCAGCACCTATACAGCAATCAATCTGATATAAGAAAACCACCATAACCTCCACCCATGCTCATCAGAGCAACTTGCTCATACAGGCCGATTCTTATGCCTCATATTCGGCAGATCAACTAAACACTGCATCAGCAAACGTCAATCAGCAGTCGCATACCCTTCGCGAACGAGACGGGTGTCCTACTTTTAACCTCCTCCTTAATCATCTTGTAAAAATCACTAAGCGGCGAATTCGCAAGCATGCTATCGACGTCTAGAGGCTCCGGCTTGGGCAACGGCAAGTCCAACGGCGACGGTAACAGCGAGTCCAGGGCTTCTGCTTCTGCTTCCGCTTCTGCTTCTGGTCCTGGTCCTGGGTCCTGGCGGGAGTGGAGGGCGGAAATCGGGCGACGGATTGGGGCTGCGCAGGCGATGGCCACGGCGAGGAGGAGGACGAGGAGGAGTGATAGGTGGGCTTTTAGTTCCATTGTGCTATTGATGAATCATGTACAAGTTGCCAGCCAGTCTGTGTGGGTTGACTACGGTCAAGAAGGAATGAGGGTGAGGATAGGATGTTGGTCGTGTTGCGGGGGTGATATATGCCCCCCGTCTCTGTACTGATTGTCCACCAGAGAGTGGACTGGTATGCTGCTACGCGAGGATCGACGCGTTTGTCTTTTGCTTGGGTTGGGTTGGCTGGTGATGGTACCTTATCCCTTGATGCGGTTATTAGTGACTCCCTCCACGGGTTGTGGTCAGCTACAGCAACGGATACTCTGTACTTTGAACTCTGTACGGTGATTGAATTTCTTCAGTAATGGGATGTTGAGAATCAGACACTATAAGCAGTATCAAATCAACTGTAGGTTGTGTAGTGAACGCGTATAGCTGTGAGGGCAAGGTGCCCTGCCTGGTTGTGGCTGGAGGAATGCGAGGGATGCATTTCTCCGTCAATGAACAATGTAGACTTTATTCCGTCTCGTGCATTGGGCAGACCTCGCGTATGGAGATCGGAGTACAGTACTATCATGATAGTGTGATCTGTTCTGCTTATGACTCCAGTCTGCTATTGCTAAATATACGACTACGAAGGTAGAGGCAGATGCAGATGCAGATGCAGCATAAATGGATTTAGAGTCCAGAATCAGACTGCGCTGTAGCTATCGAATTAATATTGGACAGAAAAATAGCTACGCTGAGACATTGTCCAATATTGCATAAATAATAGCTGACTTGTCAATTCTCAAGATGACAAACAGCATGCATAACGCGGCAGCAAAATCAATGCTGCCAATTGCCATATTGACTTGATTTTGTTGCTTCAAACTAAGTGCTTAGTGCGAATGCAAGCTGCAGATTTGACAAGCCCCATCCTGCAGCCTCTTCGTTTCTATCACACCGATCGACGCATGCACGTGAAAGCAGAGCGCGCCAGCCGTCGCTGTCGAGTCAGACGCCAGAAATCGCAAGGCTGAAGATGCAGATGGCCAAAATACTAGGCTATATCCGAAGCCATCTGCAGCCACCTTAGCAATCAAGCATGCATGATGCATCGGGTTGTCTGCATCTGGTAATCTTGTCCCGACAGGCTGTGATCACCAGGAACGAGGCGACCATCTGCACAGGTCTTGTGTTGATGAGCCTTGCCATTGGAGGATATTCGACGTGATGAATCTCGAAGGAACAAGCTGGCCTCGGCTTCAGCCTGTCAGCCATCTAGACTTGGCGACTCCGCAGCACCCCGAAACCAAGTCTCAACAAGTGACAGGAACGTGATCGGTTCCTGTACAGTCGAAGTTCATATTCAGTACTTTATGCAGAATGGACCTGCAGAATGTGATATGCAAGCGCGGAGACATAATCCCTCATCACACTTGTCTCGGTCGGACTCGGACTAGAATCAGCGATGATCGCAGATTGCTCAACAGCCCTGAACAGAACCCCTGTTATTATTCAAGCCTCGTTTGGCTTCAACCTTAATGAATGAGTCCACGTTGACGACAGGGGAGGACGCCATTCAGTATAACAAGCTTAAATAATTAGTAACCCTTGTCACTAGAACTGCATTCCACTCTGTATTGTAGCATTGGGCATCTGTGCAGAGTCAGCAGCACCTGGATGCTCTAGCAAATGCATCCAGATCCAGCCTTCTGGTCATTGACCAATACTTCTGGGAGAAAAAAATAGAAAACTCAACCGACGCGTCATTGTTGACAATTGCACGGGCCGGATCATGTCAATCGTACCTAACTATCCAGGCAACCCGGCACGATCAGTGGAGTTGCACGTCAACTGGCAAACTCAAGTAACCGTATGTCCATAAGGCCAGACCAACCACTGGGGAAGCGTAATATTTTCCCCCACTTCCAGTCCGATGGCGGGCACTGAGAAGGACTTTCAGTGTGTCAGGTCCCCGACTGGATTGGCCAATGGACGTTCATGACATAGCCATATGCCGGCCCCTGCAGAAGTGTACATACCGTCGCACTAAAGAACCAATGGACAGAAGAAGGGTGGACTGGTGGGGCGAAAGTGGAGGAGTGAACGTGCAGAGTCGAACGTTGCTATTGCTGCCAGCTCTGAGGCCTTTGATTTTGTGGGTTCAGCACCATGTTTGAGCAGTTCTACAATAGCATTCACAGTGGTCATCCGCTTTGCACAAGAAGTGACTCCTACATCTGCATCTGGAAGGACAATTCCGTGCTTGAGGTAAAGGAGGAGCATTCAGTCTGAGCCATAGAAATCATCAAGAAATGACATAAACAGTGCGCATAGACCAATACCAATTCTCCTCGAACCGTCCTTGAACATGAGCCGGAGTCACCCGTACCCTTTATTTGGGTCAAGGCAATGAAGACGGTGGTACGGAGTTCAAAATAGTAAGATATCCCTTAGGTCTGTCTCCAGAAAGTGTAGGCAATCTGCATCCTGTGCAGGAGAACATACAGCATAATTCTGCACATATAGTACCAGCTGTCCGGGACCTAAAGCGGCTTTCCTAGTTCCACAGTTCGTTCGGCGATGACTGTCGATTTCGATCCCGTCTCTGCGAGTGAATTGTGGACAAGGACCCCACCTTGTCCACAACCACGATCGATTCTCAGCCTTCGTGAGACCAAAATGCCTCTAGTATAGAGACGATCGAAACTGAATAATAATGTCGATTGTCCTGCATCATGGAGGAATGGCAATGGGGCGGTGGAGTGGACCAAGTAGCTACTCCATAGAAGCAGTGTTGAAACACGCCGCTGCAGGTTTGTTCAAAGGATTCGCGACTCCCGTTTAACCTTTTGAGTTGGACTGAACTTTGAACTAATCTGAAGAATACTAATTGTACTCTGCATCTGGTGGATACCGAATCAGCGTTAGAAGTATCTGAGCAAACTATAAATCAGGAGGAACAGCTGACAGCAGCACGTGAGGAGGAATATGCTTGGTGCCTGCAAGTCCAGGCAATAAGGCAGCAGCTGTTAGTCTAACCACATTCAATAATTACCCCTGAGTGCCTTCTGCTTTGGCCATCACAACTTGAGTCAGCACCTTGCCTTTCTACTAACTAACTATTCGCGTCATGGAATTGTCCCTACCACGCGATGTTTGAAAATAACCGCTGGACACGTCTACGAGTAACTCCGTAAAGGTGTATCTCCTGTCTAGACCATGTGAAGACTGCGTACGGAGTAGTCTCACACTCATACAGCCAGTCCTCTCTCCCAAAGAGGCAACTCCCAACCCAGTTGAGATAAAGAACACCTCCGCGGTCTCCATCATGAGCTCCATCCGTTATCCCCATACGGTAATGATGGACAAACAGGCAATATCGTGCCGTCCCAGGTGTTGCTCTGGTTGCTCCAGTGAACTGATCGACCAAATCCTTCTAATCTCAATGTCCAATGACCCTGCCCCTAGCAGTGGCAACTAACATCATAGAGTGTTTGTCCATGAGACCACGAGTCCACAGTCATATAACTCCACGAGAAGCCACACAAGCGGATGTATGATTGTGGACAAAGACTGCGGTACGGCGACAGACCGAGGCCTAAGCCGCGGGATGGAAAATAAGCCCCTGTTCGCCCCTGGCTTTAGTGACTAGTGTTAGTGTCGGTGATCGGGGACTGGAAGGATGGCCCCAAGCAGTCAAGCGTATCCGTGGGATAATCTATCTATCGCCATGGATTCGAGTCATGACCAGATCAACAATGATCACCATTGTAAGGCAAATCTCGCCATTGATATTGTTTTGGTTCCTGGACCAAGTGGTGGCGAACCATGGTCGTGTTCGAAGTTGCCCTTTGGTAGCTTCGGAACCGACTTGACGTTTGGTAGTTGTTGGAGCATCCTTGTAGCGACTGCTAGAAAGGACTCTGTAGGTTAGTAGCAGGAAGCTTCCTGTGCAGCGCTTAGCTAGCTAGCTCTTGAGCAGACAAAGAAACAGTGGCAAAATGCCAGGGCCAGAAGAGCTTAGAGCCTTAGCCCGCATATAACAGCGAGCACGTGCGCCCTGTGATAGGCTGCTCAGTCCGAGCTCTTGCTGGAGTTTGGAAAGGGATAGGAACACAAGGTACTTTCCCTACCTTAGTTTACCTACCTACCTAAATAAGCTAAGGTAGGTCTGGTGCCAGGCGAAATAAAGCTCAGGATACTGGCCTCTCCGTGCTAATGACATTTATCCTCTTGTCCAGTTATCTCTCTAGTCTTGGTTTGGAGTCTAAACTCTGGACACTCTGATCGGAAGCTGCGGAATCTACGGTCGGCAACTGTCAATCGCTTCAAGCGGACTCCCAGTAGTAGATTGTATAAGGGACAACGGTAGATGGACCACTACATTCTTAGAAAAGTAGTAGGCAGTAGTTAGGCCACACTGATTAAATCGATACAGAGACAGCAACTTTCCTGTCTGAACCGCCCTGGATCCCAGATAGCGGGGACGCCTCCAGACACCGCGTCACAAAGGATTTTCAAGTGTCGCGCGGTTTATTGTCCAATCCGAGACACGGCGGCAAGACCAAAGTACGTACCGGTCCCACCACAAGATGTCATTTGCCCTTTGTCTTTGCCTCTGCCTCAGTCTCTTGGGTGACGGGACGGCTGGACTCAAAATTGGATTTTGGGGCCAAGCCGCCAGACGAAGTACTCTGGGGCCGGGAAAGATGCCGTAGCTTGGTGGCCAGGGTTGTAGTCCTATACTCCTACTACGTAGTTCCGCTACTGCTATATCGGGTTTTGTGCATCAGACCATCACCGGATCGTGTGCTTTTACGATATCAGGACCAGGATGCGATGCGATGGGGCTTGTTATCTGGTCATAGACCCGCAGAATGGTAGGAACTATCTAGATCCTAGGATTGTCCCTGCATCAGTAGTACTGAGATTGAATATATATTTGCCATCTATTAGGTCACTGGAACCGATCATGCAAATTATCCAAGCAACTGACCAAGTTAGCATGTAGAGCGAGTTATAGCCACAACTGAGCTCACATGGCGAA